ATAGCATTTAACCCTTCTAAGTGTTGCACTGATGTTAAAAATCTTTCTCTGGTGCTGTAAAAACAGCCTACTCAGATATCTAATGCAACAGACCAGACAGTGAGTTCTGTCAGATACAAGCAGCAGAATTCACACATTATTTCAGGTGTTCTAGCCTCCTAAATAGTAGGTATGCAGGGACAGAGAAGCACCTTGTCATGACCCTTTCTTATCACTGCTCTGAGCTAAAACTGAAAGCAATTTGTTAACCGTCAGAGCAGTTCATCCTTACTGGTCTTTATTACCCTGGCCTCCCCACTCAATTTAAACAAGCCAACGAGCATCTCCCAGAACATGGGGGCTGGTAGGCCTGTATATCATATGGAAGAATTAGATCTGACTCTGGGGCTCAGGTGCAGACAGCAGGAGGGGCATTGAGGTGGCCTTCGTGGAAGAAAATAAGGCCTTGGGTATCGAGCAACAGCTGAGACTAGCAAGCCTCATTGTGCAGCACCCAAGTCATCTAGCAACATGTTGGCCTCTGCTGCAAAGAGAGAACAGAGGATCCCATAGCAGAATGAATGGAATCTGATTTCAATTATGTTTCGTACAGTCACCCTCTTTAGGCAGAGAGGCCAGAACACCTGGTGCAGCTTGGACCACTGTGGCCAGGAGCACCGTATTACCTAGTTCATGGAGGCAAGTGGGAATGTGACTTCCCTTCCACAAGCTGATGCCATATAAGTCCCAGAGGAGGAGGATGTGAAAATACCAGCCAAGTTCTCATTAGCACTATGCAGAGAAGAAGAATTATTTCATCTTGATGGATTCTCCCCACAGTCTCTGAACATATTGATCTTGCTTGTAATGAGTTTGCTTAGGTCCAGGAGTCATCACCCCACTGAGATCTGAGTCATTGGCAGGATAGTCGAAGTGACAAGGTGTACCTCACTGATTGCACCAGTAACAATTGCTTTGTGCATCCCTCCACCTTTTGAAAAAGCCCATAGATTCATCTGTATAAAATTCATTTGGATTCTATTATTCATTTTAATGGCATGAGTAGGGAATAACAAAAGGACAGCTGCCCCAGAGAACAGTTTAGATTCACAGGACTGTTCCATAGAGCTTTCTGATATGATGGAAATGTCCGTATCTGCATTGTCCAATGTAGCAGTGACTAGCCACCAGTGTGAGTTTTGAGCACTTGAAATGTAGCTATTGAGACCAAGAAATTACATGTTTACTTTTTCTTTAATTTTAATTAATTTGAATTTAAGTAGCCACATATGGCTAAAAGCAACTACTGGCAATGCAAATCTATAAGGAATGCTAAGAGCCAGGCATTCTAGTATAGTACAAATGAGTTTTTCAGAAAAGCCCCTGTAGCACAGGTAATTCTGAATTAGGAAGAGGATCCCTAATTCTAGTTTCAACTCTGTCACTAGGGAAACCGCACCTATCTAACCTCATCTTTCCCTCTTTTGACTTGAAAGGTTAGATTAATGTGAGAAGTCCCAAACATTGAATTCAACCTTTGAACAAAGATGTATTTCAGGCAAATTTTTAAATATTCTCTGAATGTCTTCTAGTGGTGTGTGTATGTGTGACCACACATGTGCCTGTGTGGCAAGGGCAGGGAGCCAAGAAGCCATTCACTCAGTTCAACAGATTCCCATCATTCTCTTACACATATACACAAATACACACACATCACTGTATTACTTTGACATGTCCTGAAGACACAGTGAATCGTTAATCTCCTTAGGTGAGTTTATTTCTTAGTACCCTTTCAAATATTTTATGTTGTAAATCTTTAGGCCACTGTAGTACCCAAAACCCGTCTCTACACTATTCTTATAGTTTGCTGCCTTTTCCATTCTGAAGTTAATGCTACATACTGGACTCAGCAGTTAAGAGTAATAATGAAAGGCAGGGAGGATATAAGCCCATCCCCACTCCTCATCTCTGCTGTTCAGCTAGAGATAGAGTTCAAGGCATCAGGGTCTTTATGGCATTAAATGTTGTAATGTGTTCACGAGTAAGGTAAATAAAAGACCCTGGAAAATACTTGCCCTTATTTCTTAGTTATCTCAGGCATAGATGTATCTCCATCTTCTACCAGGCTAGAAATGGGTGGGGGGAGACATGGTTTGGCTACTCCTGAGCTGAAATCCAGAAAATAGCAGTGATGGAGAAGCAGGGATCTACCTCTAGAAACTGTACCAGTAGACACTGACAGCCTGTGGATCTATCTACAAAAAAACCATGCCAGCAGTGGTTTCATAAGACAAGATACTGCCTTTAGCTCTGGGAAAAGATGGAGTGAGCCCAGTTCATGACTTCCAACCAGTGCCCTTCATGGGAACTGACCGTGGGTGTGCATATCTTACAGACTTTCCCAAGTCTTGCATAAGTTATTGTTGGATAAAGTCATGTTGCACTCAGAGTTGATTTTCCAGGTTTCGGGCAGGAAACGCTCCTCTTATACCACCAACCCCACCAGTTTCGCCCCCTCTACCCTAGTTGTTTTTCCAGAAATAATCCACTCTTGCCTTGATATATACTGAGTTGTGTTATGATTGGAGATTCCATTGGATTTATTTCTCTGCTTAGAATTAAAAGTTGGTTCTAGATTATTTTGCAGGATCCAGAAACAGATGAGCAACAGATCTTGTATGTATTCATTTTAATTGAGCAATCTGTTTTTCTGTTTCATACTTATATTTCTTACTGTTGTTATTATTAAAAGGATTAAATAAAATGAATTATGGTCTTCCCCAGTGCCACTATCTATATATTTTATGTCTTAGTGTTGTAAACTTTTCATATATGTATATGTTGATATAAATTTTAGGGAAATAGCATAAAATTAATTAAAATTAGGATACTAACTTCTAAATTATGTGTGTGAACATAGGGAAAAGGTGGTTCATAAGGTTTCAGTTTACAATTATTGCTGTTTTAAATAGTGTTAAGATAATGCTATTTCTATCCTTTCTAATGGCTGCCACCTAACATGTTTACCATTTGGTAGACAGATTTTAGAGGCAGGGACATTTTATTATTTCTTTGATGATGTTGGAGATTTTAACCCTTACCCTATCTCCAATCCCTTTGGCTAAAAAACAAAACAAACAAACAAACAAAAAGTGTGTTACAGTTCCTATTTGGGCATAATGTCTGACAATACACTGCAACACCAGAATATTCCCCCCACTTGTGGAGCCCAAAGTAGGATTAATAATACCAGAATTTAGTATCCTGAAGATGGAAAGGGTTATTCAAGGCCATTTTATTAACTTCATTGCCATCAGATGCTTGAATTCTTAACCATGCTGCATCTAATCTGTTTCATTATCTTCAGTGACATAAGTGCCTGGCAACTTTTCCATTTTCAGAGAGTTTTAACAACTAAAATGTGTGTGTGTGTGTGTGTGTGTGCGTGTGTATTTAAAGAGAGAAATAAATCCAAGTTGATGCACTTTTATACTTTTTGGTGTCCCTTGGAACCAAAACAATAAGTACAACCCTTCTTCACCAGGACTGGATTTCTAGTCTTTTACCCTAGCAGTCTCTTAGACTTGCCAGGTAGACATAAATACATCACTTACTTGATTTAAGACATTTTGTATTTGCCTATCCCCGTAAGTAAGATAAAGCACAAATTTCATAGTATTTCATACATACTCCTTTAAAATCAGGCCCCAGCAATTTTCCTCCCTGGCTGCCTGTAGATCTGTTGCCATCATAAATTACACAGTAGTTATGTGGACCAGGAAGTTCATGACCAATTTCTGTTTCAGTGGAAACAAATGGTCATTGATATCTTTCATCCAGGGGAAGCAACAGGGCCTAATAGAGAAATTCGGGGAAAATTAGCTAAACTATATGAAACCACACCTGATGTCATCTTTGCATTTGGATTCCAAATCCATTTTGGAGGTGGAAAAACACCTGACTTGGGGATGGTTTATGACTCCTTGGCTTATATGAGGAAAAATGAACCTAAACTAGACTTGCAAGACATGGCATACATGAGACGAAAAAGACCTCAAGAAAACACCAAAAGGAGCACAAGAACAGAATGAAGAAAATGGCGGACTGGAAAGGCCAATATTGGTGCTTGGAAAAAGTGAGCTTATGATTTCTGCATTAACTTTATCTGTACGACTGTACAATTTTCAGGAAATACTTTATAAAACCGTATGTGTTTCTGGATGCTTGGAAATCAATCTAAAAAAAAAAAGAAAATCCTCCCCATTTTTGTTCTCAACTTCATAATTAACCACTTATCTCACCCATGAATTTGTGTACTGTTAGTCACATTGGTTGCAAACTTTTCTCCCAAGCATTTCTCATTGCCTTTTTAATGCAAAATTTTAATTCCTTTGAATATTTTTTTTTTACGTCATCCTTCATTTTGGGCATTTTTTCCACCTCAGTTGTAATCCCCATGGGCTTCCCACCATGAATTCACTTTCTCTGTTCAAGGTCTCAATTAAATGCTACCATAAAGCATTTCTTGACCCTGCCAATACATGGTTCATGACCTTCCTCCATTGTTAATATCTCTGTTGTAACATTACCAGTTTGACATTTTCTAGAATTGTTTGTGGGCATTTACTTCTCTTCTACCAGACTGGTAAGGGACTTGAGTCATTTCTGCATCTAAAAACAAAGACTTAATAAAGGACGTCTGTTGAATGAATGACTGTATGAATCATTAATACACTAATAAATGATTTAGTTGAAGGTTCATCATATGAACACTGAAGATTACATTTATGAAGAGCCTTATCAAAATACACTTGGTCTGTCTGACAAAGAGACTGAAGGCAAAACAAGATATGAAAGTTTGAGTTTAATTGGGACTTGGGATAATTCAGCTAGACATAAACTGAGAACTTTTCCTTAGGAAGTTTATAGTGTGTCACCAGGCAGAATGAACATCTTTATTTTTTTATCCAGGGAACATTGGCTCCTGATAGTAAACCCAAGTTCTCCTCTCTCCCTAACAGCCCGGAAACTGAAGAAACTTGGTAATCTGAAACTACAGGAGGAAGGAGAGTCATCCAGTGCCAGTAGCCCCACTGAGGAGCCAACTCAGAAGCTGACAGTATCACACATTGAAGGCTATGAGTGTCAGCCCATCTTTCTGAATGTCCTAGAAGCCATTGAGCCAGGTGTGGTGTGTGCTGGACATGACAACAACCAGCCCGACTCCTTCGCAGCCTTGCTCTCTAGCCTCAACGAACTAGGCGAGAGACAGCTTGTACATGTGGTGAAGTGGGCCAAAGCCTTGCCTGGTAAGGAAAAATGTTGTGAGGAGATGGAATAAAGAAAATCATAATTTGTGAATGTTCCTACAGCTGAGGCACCATACATGATCCTGTCCTGATCATTTAAATACGTGAGAATAAGATTGGTGTGCTCTCCTCTTTAAAAATAGGAGAACTGAAACGCAGAAATCAAGAAAAGAGCCCGAATCATTATAGAACATCTTGTGTACGTCACATTAGCATATAGCAATCAAATGTCCATATTCATTTGATTCATAGGAGACATCAACAAATCTACCCATAATGATAGCTCATATAGCCACATCTTTGTATACCTGAAGATACTTTGTTCTCCATGTGTATTCATGCAGAAGCCTACCCTAGCAGTAATCTTGGACCTCACTGATTTTCTGCCCTCAATATCATCTTTAGGACACATACCATCAAATTCTTTTTTTTTTTTTCATCAAATACTTAATGATAAGGTAGAAAGAACATGGAGTATAAAGGCACGACACTTAATTGCTAGTGGTAGCCTTGGTGGTAACTCCTTTTCTGGGTCTCAGTGTCTCTTTCAGAAACTGAAACGGTTTGGACTAAATTAACCGTTTTCAAATTTTGCTACAAGGGACTCTTACTGTTCTTTAAATTACAATAAGAACCAAAGTGGAAGGAAATATTAGGTCATAGTGAAAGAAATACAAAGAGTTTAACTTGTGCTTTGACAGTGATAGGGAATGCACTTCATTCCTATGGCTTCTGTTGTTTGAACAGATCTTGTTATTATCCATGGATACTATGGTTGTAGGAAAACTGTGGCATTGCACCTGAGGGGAGAAACCAAATACTGTCCAAAATTAAGAATGGTGTAAGAAAAAAATAAAATGTCAGAAGTTAAAGAATCCTCAGAGACCCTCTGCTCAAGGATACACAAGATTTCCTTTAATAAACAATTCCTCAGAAATATCATACACATATACAAGTGGTGGTGATTGATTTAAAACCAGTGTTTCTCACTCACTGCCCCCAGAGAAGTCTCAGATCACTCTTGTGGAACCTTAGGACTCTAGGACATACAGTTTGGAAACAAATGAAGCATACATTCTTTATGGGTTTGTCTAATCCTGAAGTTCTGATTCAAAGATTCTTTTGTAACAACAATCAAACTTCTTAAGAAGTCAGAGTAATAGTAACAGCAGATGGAAACTTGTGGTAAGCAGATTAGTTCCTTAGCATTACTTGACTTGATTGTCCTAAGAATCCTTTAAAGTAGATTTTTTTTCTTTCTTTCTTTCTGTATTTTCTAGATAATGGTCCTGAAACTCTGAGAAGTGATGTGCTTGGCTTACATTTAAAAAAACAGAAAATGACAGATCTGGAACTTGAGCCCAGCTCCCCTCTTGATTCCAAATCCTCTACTGCTCTCACACACCCATAGTTTGTTCATTACTCCACCCGTGTAGTCCTGTTGCCCTAGGCTTTACAGAGAGAGGGCAAAGGCTTTATCCAAGGCCACCTGGGTCATAGTGTAGACTTGCTGCCATTGAAAACAGTGCATGTTGGCTGTCGACCTCCTATGTTACTTTTCCAGTTTCACAAGGCCTATTTACAGTTACTATGTTATCTCTAACAATTCCCCTCCTTGGGAAGCTGAGGTATACTAGATAATCAGATTGCTGCTAAGAAAACCAAAGAACTCTAGTGTGTATGCACTGCACCAAAATACAGAATTCATACAAACAGGAAAAAAGAAGAGAGAATTGCTTTGTTACCACTTACTTATTCAGCTGGATCACTTGATGT